AGTTGCAAGGGAATATGAAGCAACCTGAACTTCTCCTTAAGTGAGAACAGCCTTTCTTTGATGCTGGCTTAAAATGGGCTGATGGGTATGGCTCTAATCCATACTGTGGTGGTAGTTTGTTTCTAGCTGTGTGGATCCATGTCTTTATATGTTCTCTTTGCCTACTGCTCTTAGCATGTGTGGGGAAATGTCCCTGCTTTCCATTTTTCCTCCTTTAAGTGGGGAACCTCCCCCACTGTACAAGAGTGGGACTAATTCACCAGCATTCATTGTGTACTTTGAAGGTGTTACAGTTCAAGGTATTACTATGACACCTACATAGTACAATGATGGGCATGTTGGAGTTTAATTTGATTTTTTTTTTTTTTTCTCATCAGGTTCAGGTACAGTTTGTGCTTTGGTTTTATGTTAATTATTAATCCTATGTACTTAAACCCCTTAAGGAAGCAATTTGAAATGCTCTTTTTCAAATGTACTCTAAAACATCCTCCTGATAATTGGTACCTCACTGATTTTTTTTTTCCCCCAGTTTAGCTCATGATTAGAGAAGAAACCAAAACGTTAATGCTATGAAATGCAGGAACTGGATTGGTGAGCATATACCATCTCTATGCATCCCTCATCACTCAATCCATCATGGGTTGTTGTTCAAGAGTAGTTTTAGTAGAGAAATAAAAGGGTACCAAGTTGCGCTTGCTTTCTTCTTCTGTGCTGTCATTATAGAAACCTCTGTGGTCTCCTGCAGAATCTGGACCCAATTGCAGAACATTGCCAAAGCCAAATAATCCTCATCATGCACAAAAGGGATGCTTCAGGCTTGTCCGAACACTTTCATGTTTCCTTGGCTAACAATCCCAGGCTCCTTTTTGCATAATTTTTCCATTACAAATACCTACTTTTTTAACTTGATTTCATTTGGTCAAATGGATTCAGTTGTAGTTGGCATAGCTAGATGGAAGTACGGCATGTTTTCCCAATTCTGGTTTGAATGCTTATCCTCCCCCCCCTTTTATTTTCCAGCTATATTTTAAACTGTTGAGAAGATCCAAAGCTTGTAGCTTCATACCAAAAATGTGGCAGGAGCTGCACAGCTCTATTTGCTTTGTACCTCAATCCATTTTGGAGTCTTTGTGGATGGACAAAAACAAACCTTAAAAAAAAAAAAAAAAAAAAAAAA